GGTGGGGGCGCGCCAGCACGGCCGCCTGCTGGTCCGCCACGCCTACAGCTTCCACCAGAGCAGCGAGGAGGCCGGCGACTTCCTGGCGCACGCCGACCTGCAGCGGCGCAACTCCGAGTACCTAGTGGAGAACGCCCTGCACCTTCATCTCATCATCAAGCCAGTCTACCACACCCTCATCCGGACCCCCAAGTAGCCAAGCAGGGCTGGGGATGAGTTGCTCGGCGTCCCTGACGCCTCTGGATCCGGAAATAAAGGCTCAGCATAGATGGTCCAGAGAGACTGGGAGTGGCACGGCCAGTGGCCAGGCACTGGCAGCTTTGGAGCCGGGTGGAATCCAGGTGAGGGGTGGTAGACCAGATGCCTGGTTTCAGGAGCTGATTTCAAGCTGACTTGAAAGTGATGCTCTTGGTAGAATAAACCGATGCTCAGAGAGGTAAGGGGATGATTAAACCACCCAGTTCCTGAGTGAAAACAATCCAAAGAGGGTCCCACAGGCTGGGGGCTCTCCATCTTGTATTAGCTCCCCTCCCCGCCACAGAGAGCCTCCTACCCCCACACGGAACAGGGCAGGTAAGAGCATCCAAATAGGGTACTAGGTACCCCTCATGGGAGCTTTCTCACCTTGAAGCGGAGGGGCTTAGCTGAACAATTTCTGAGCCTGGACTTTCAGGGGGTAACCACCTCATCTGGATTGTGGACTACTCCAAGTCTGATCTCTCCTGGGAGGGAGTCTGGGCAGGTATGAAGGCTGGCAGGAGGAGGCCTTATAGCCCCGCCCTTCCTGGAGAGGGACCTCAGGATCTAGAAAAAAACCACTTTCCTCCAGGTGTTTGCAGGTTGGTGCTATAAGACCAGCCAGAGGGGAATGGGGTGTGGTGGGGATGGGGGAGGGAGTTGGGTTGAATCCACGTCAGTCATGGCCACCCAACATTTCAGACAATGTCCAGTTTCCAACACAGCCATCAAGACCCAAATGGGATTTTATTGTTAAAAAATGAAGAGGGGGGGAGCCACTGCCAAGTAACAAAATCAGATTCCCTCCCCCGTTCCCATAGTATATGAAGTGCCTGGTGGCTCCTTCTCCAACCATCCAGGATGCTCTTGCCCCAGGTGTGGGCCCAGAGGCCCTGTCCCACTAACAGCTTCCTTCCCCATTTCCAAGGCCAAGTCTGGCCACAGGCTTCAGAACAAAGTTTTGGCAACAGGGTTCTGTCCAGGGCTGGGAGGCTGGGGAGCCCTGTCACCCCAGTCATGCCTCCTGGGCTCACCTCCCTTTCCCCGTGGCGCTGAAAGCAACAAAGTGTTGGGCAGGCACCCTCACAATTCCTGGGTCTCAGGAGCCCCAGCCTTCTGAGATCCTGAGCTCCTGCTCCCAGGCCATGCCCATCTGCCCAGCCTCCATCTCCCACTTCCCACTATACCCCATCCAGTCTTGGGGGGCAGGAGGCCAGTTACTGGCAGGGCCCCTCAGTTATGTCGGAAGCGTCCATCTTTGCCATGGGTGCTCGCACCGTGAGGCAGGCGGGGCTCCCGGATAGCCCTTCGGGAAACAGCAGCTGGGTTGGAGGGGACAGTGAGGGGTGACGAGTCCCCAGGGCCTGCAGCAGGGAAGGGTCAGGAGCAGTGCTTTTAGGAATGCCTCTCCATCCCCTCTCTGATCACCCCGTGGCTTTCAGCTTCCTAGGGGCACAACTCCAAGACGCCAGTCCCACAGGCATTCTTTGAGAACCCTGTTTACAGCAAGGGGCAGCCATAGGGGCAGGGAGCTCAACCTGTTTCCCCCTTGAACTAGCCAAGGGCTCCCCTCCCCCCTCCCCATTCCTTCCTTTGCTGGTACTGACCTGTGTTCTCGCTTGGAGGGAGTTTGACCTTGGCCATAGGCAGTGTGACCTTTCCCAGATGCCGGATACCAGGGGCTGGGTGCCCACACACTGGTGTTCTGTGATCCAAGATACTCTTCATGGGACGGGACCCCAGGACATGTGTCTTGGGGCGGGAGAGCTGTGTTGGTTGGAGAACAGTGAGGTGAGGTGGGAGCTGCGTGGGGACCTGCTATGGGGGTGGGTCCCAGCTGCTGTGCCAGCCTAGGGGACAGAGGCATGGAAGGGGGGTTCACAGCTAGAGGTGTCCTGGGGCCTCTGGAGGAATCTAGCCCTCAGGCCCCCACCAGCAAGGAAGGGGCCCAGACTCCCCAGTCCTTGCCTCTCCACTCACCCCTTGCCCTGTGACCTCAAAGGACCGGGACCTCCGCTTCCTCCTCTTCGCCTCCAGCGACTCCTCCCGTTTCTTGTCCAGGCTTTGCTTCTGGCCATGCAGCCAGGGCCCAGGGCCATCGCCACGACGCTCGACTGCCCGTGATGGGGCCTCGCCCGTGCTGCTGGACAGGTTGTCCTCACTGGCAGCGTGCTGCAGCGTGGGGCTGGGCGGCCGCTTGCAGGCCAGAGGACCAGGCGGCCGCGAGTCGTCAGCCTCACTCAGCGAGTGCAGGGATAGGCTACTGCGCTCCATGGCAGGTGCCAACAGGTGGCGCCCCTCGGCGCCCACGGCCCGAGAGCGCCGCCTGGCGGCCTTCACTGAGATGCACTTGGTACTGGTCAGGATCTCCTTCCTCTCTGCAGTTGGACAGAGGAACATCCAATCCGGGATCACCTCCTTCTGCACCCACCTCCTGCACCTCCAGCACCCCTCCTCTGCCAAAGCATTCCCACTTGCTTGCTATTTAAGAAAGTTTAGGCAAAGTTCTGAGCTTTACTTTCATCTGTAAGATGGGGATGGTAAATGGAACGCCATTGGGATGTTGTGAAGAACAGAGATATGGGCATAGCTTATGACCAGGGGGTAGGCATTCAGTCTACCTCTGCTATTACAGTTATTTCTGAGTGGGAAGAGGGGGCATGCTCCTAAGTGCCATGGGCCCCCCATTCTGATTTCTGGTTGTGTCCCCCAGCTCTGTGTGGACAGAGCAGGTGGTTAATCCTCTCTGGACACTGGTGCCTCTCTTTCTTTCTAGAATGGGTAGCAGCCGGGCAGAAGGCAGGAAAGGGCTTTGGGTTGGGTGATCTGAGCAGTTTTGATGATGCCAGGCTCAGGCTGACAGGGCAGGCCGGGGGCACACCTTTGCGGGACAAGGGGATCTCTGACAGATTCTCACTGCTGTCGGGGGAAGAGTTGATCCAGCTGCTCAAGCTGACCTGGCTGTCCTGAGTGGGGCCCTGTAAGATGAATTGGTTGGGAAGAGAAGCCATTGGACACAGTGGGAAGCCTATGCCCCCAGGGGGCTGTTTTGGAAAGGGTCCTTCCCGACCACTGGGTGTCCACCCCTGTATGCCCACCCACAGCAGGGGAGTCTGTGGGGCCAGTGGTGCCCAGTGCTCACCTCCTGGGTCACCAGGCTGCCGATCTGGATGAGGGGTGGGGTGGGCACAGAGGAGCTCTTCACCTGCCAGGCCCGGGGACTGGCCTTGAACACATGGTTGGCATCACTGAGGCTGGCAGAGGACAATGGGCATCTGTTGACCAGGCAGGTTCCACTGCAGTCCCACCCACCCAGGGGAGAGCTGTTTGCATAAAGGTAGCGAGAACCCAGAAGTCCTGGCTCCAGACCTGGGCCACCTCTCCTCTTTCGTTCCTGCTCCGTCTTCCCCAGGAAGCCCTAAGCTGGACTGGCATCCCTGGGACATGGCACAGGCTGTAGTGGCTCAGGCAGGCAGGACTGGCAGGAAGTAGTCCCTGGTCTCACCTCTCTGTGCGGAGGGGAGGGAGGTTGCTGTTCTGCAGGCACTGGGCTTCAGAGCTCAGCGTCTTCACGCTCTCCTGGTCGGACTCGGGGGTTAGCAGGGTTCCTGCTGGGGTAATTTTGGGCAAGGAGCTGTCCTGGGAATAGGGAGGCGCAAATAGTCACAACATTTGGTCCTGACCCAAGTAACAGTGCAGGGTAACGAAGATACACAGGGTGTCTGGGGCTGTAACACGGGCTGGGAGCCCCAGAGGGCAGGGGGCCTGAGTTCTGGGTCCCAAGGGGCCAGCTGTGGTCTGCTAGGCATCCCCTGTGACACTGTGTGGTGGCCTGGTCTCCTGGGAGGGCATCTGGGGCCATTTGTAATGTCTTAGATAGCCAACCCTAACCCTCAGACCCTCAGTGGGGACAAGTGCCAGAGACGAATGCCCTAGGACAGGGACCTTACTCAGGCTTGGCAAAGCTTTGGGTGGGGTTAAAAAAAAAAGAAAAAACGGGTCAAATCCCTGGGACCAGCCAGTCTGGCCCCACCTGCATCCCAGCTACCTGCAGGCACTGCCTCAGGCATCAGTCCCTCTCTCAGCACCTGTGCGCATGCTCAGGCGCCCACCTACCTGCAGGGCCCGAGAGGCCACGCGGTCCATGATGGTGGCCCGCTCCAGGCTGCCCTCCTCCAGCTCCCGCAGGTACACTTCGTACAGCTCCTCCAGGTGCTGAGGAACGGCCAGGTTGTAGTCTGCGGAGGGAGAGGCAGGGCTCAGGGCGTGCCCTCGTGCCCTCGGACCCTCTGTGGGTCTATGGGGCCCGTGGGTGGCTCCGACGCGCGGGGCGCGGGCCCTACCGTCGATGATCTGCCGCTGGCCCTGGATGATTTCGTCGCAGAGGCTGCGGTGCTGCTCCAGGCGGCGCACGGCCTCGCGGCGATGGCGGAGCGCGCCGTCCCGGAGCAGCGCGTGCGACTGCATCTCGGTGTTCTCCACCTCCAGCTCGTGCACGCGGCACAGCAGGCTGAGCACCTCGCGCTGCTCCTCGGAGCCGATGCGCCGCGGCAGGGTCTCCTCCAGGCGCCGGCCCCGCGCGCGCAGCTCCCGGCAGCGCTGCTCCAGCGCCAGCTGGTGGCGGGGTGGCGGGGGG